GGTGGTTACTCATGCTGCAAGTAGCAGCATTCAGCGATCGGTAGCATCCGCCTCCACTGTTTATGTCAGAGTGCTGACGGAGCATCAGTAGAAGCAGCTGTTCCATTTCGTCTCCACTTTGGATCATTAGGGCAATCCACGCCAACCTTAAGCAGCTGCAGCCCCTTCTACTCTTTCTTCCACCCAGCAGTAATCCAACGGTGAGTGGAGAGGAGGTTAGGAGAGGGGATTATCTGGAATGGGATGAAACGGAGTGGGTGCCTACAGCTTGCTAAGCTCTCTACTAGCAGAGTATTTGGACAACACCAGTTGATGCCATACGAAACTGACAAAATTACTAGTGGGAGCGCTAGTGAGATGCAAGCATCGCTCGGTCAATGAAGTGATGGTTTCATGGTCACGCAACACGCAACTGCTCTAAGACACATGTGCCCAATATCCTTGTGAGACTAGACCAGAGGAGACGAAATGAGGCGAGTCGAGACATGACTGAATTACCATCCGTAGTAATCGGTAGGACACAATTGATGGTTTGTGGGAAAGAATGCACGCACAGGTCGAATAGTCATGCTGGCCGTAAAGATGGGCAGCGCCATCTAGATGAGACATCGCAATCAACAGGGGGTACGAAACGAAGCACTGAGGAACGTTGGGCCTAACGAAGTACTCAACCAATAGACACACTGCCTAACACCTTCCAGACACCACCTCTACCTGTTAAACTCCACCTGCTATGCAGAACACTACAGAGCAAGCGATCCCAGTTGCCCAATCTTCCAAACCAGGACGAAGTAAACATCTGTCTGAACTGCTTTGTGGCACCTTCTATTTTGGCAACTTACATGTTATTGATGTTAAAAATACACTCCTTGAGTAAATGGGAGCACCTTGTCACATGGTCAACAAAGTGGCGATGATATTTTATAGCATGCAAACCTACCTACATACATACATAGAACAGGGCTTCTTTCTGTCAGGAATCCTTCCTGTGATTAGCAAGGTTAGTCCAGAAGTGTTTGGCTAGTAGAAGTATCAATGGGAATGTATAAAAGGAGTAGAGATCTGTGTCAAAAGAGTCTCTCCACATTTCAGGAGTAGTGGTAGTGTCGTCTGATGCAATGTGGATGCCCTCCTCTATCCGTGTTGGTGAATGATTCCTTGTAGACTCAACGACGCTGGAGACGACACTTATGACTATCACCACTGTTTTATCTACCCATGAATGTTTAATTAACGTAATCTTGTGAGTCAGCAATTCCTTGGTCCTTATATTCCATAAGCAAACAATTTCTCATAGCAGCTGTGTTGAGTGATGAGTTGCGTATCCTTATGAAAGAGTGAAACTGCACAGTTGATATCCGTGTTGCGTGGTATTACCTCCCAAACATGTGATGGGTCTTTCAGTATGAAATTCAGAACAACGACTGACTAAATGCCAATTTGATAATGAGGTCTTGTCCAGGCATCATCGGGTGTTGTATGGAAGGCAACTGAAATGTCTCAGTCTAGGTCGCAGCGGACACAATGGCACGTCACTTGGGCCAATCAAATGTCGTGGATAACGGAGGTGGCGCTGGAAGCATGGCCGACCACGGGAGTGCTTATTGTGTGAGGCCAGCTACCTCCTCGACAATGACAGGGATATGGGTATGGGGTTGCGCATTC